CACCACCACTCTGGTTTCCACCGCCACCACCACTCTGGTCTTCCACCACCACCACCACTCTGGTCTTCCACCACCACCACCACTCTGGTCTTCCACCACCACCACCACTCTGGTCTTCCACCACCACCACCACTCTGGTCTTCCACCGCCACCACTTTGGTCTTCAAGTACAAGTTGTCTGTAGTGTCTGCACCGGTCACATGCAACGCGTGTCAAGAGCCTGGCAATAAGTGGGTAAAGTTGTCCCAATAGTGACGCGCTATATGCACGTTGCACTGATACGCCCTTATGCCGGCCAAACTGGGTCAGGATGACCCACATACGTGGAAAAAGTGCAATACAATTTGTACAAAGTCTCACTCATTTGTTCGAGTGCCAGGCAAGGTTTGTCGGCTGGATCCTTATTTAGATCCACAGTTTACCTTCTACATTACCCTCACATTACTCTCATATTATCCTCATATTACCCTTATATTACCCTCATATTACCCTGATATTACCCTCAACTTACTCTCATATTATCTTCATATTATTCTCATATTACCCTCATATTACCCTCATATCACCCTCATATTATCCTCATATGGTAACTGCCCTCACTTGCCTTACTCCCCTCACTAATTCCACACCCTTCCCTTCCGTCTATTTACTCACATTCCTCAATTTAATCAGAGCCCTCGTTTCCCTCACTACCCTCACATCTTTCCCTCACACACATGGGAACAGCGCAGGTGAGGGAAGACCACTCAGTTCCTCTACCCTCTTTTATTCACATCGCATTTGCCTGACATTCCCCTCTTTCCCGTCGCTCGTATTTGCGCAATTCCCCTCTTTCACGGGTTTCCCTTGACAGTGGCAGGCGTTCAACCCTCACTTCCCTCGTTGCTGAACCGAGGGAAGTGCTTCATCGGAAGCTGGTGGCAGGGCTGAAATTTTGCTGACGTCGCAGCAGCGGCAACGATTGCTGCCCGGTGGGGTTACCCTCATCGTGTGCCACTACCCTCGAAACTCGTCCCCAGACTCCCCAACACTTTCCCTCAACATCCTAACATTTATTTTCATCCCAGACTCCCCAACACTTTCCCTCAACATCCTACCACTTATTTTCATCCCCAGACTCCCAACACTTACCCTCAACATCCGAACATTCATTTTCATCCCCAGACTCCCCAACACTTACCCTCGACATCCTAACACTTATTTTCATCCCAAGACTCCCCAACACTTACCCTCGACATCCTAACAAGTTGTCCCAATAGTGACGCGCTATATGCACGTTGCACTGATACGCCCTTATGCCGGCCAAACTGGGTCAGGATGACCCACATAAGTGGAAAAAGTGCAACACTATTTGTATAAAGTCTCACTCATTTGTTTGAGTGCCGGGCAAGGTTTGTCGGCTGGACCCTTATTTAAATCCACAGTTTACACTCTACATTACCCTTACATTACCCTCCATTACCCTCATATTACCCTCGAATTACCCTCATATTACCCTCATATTACCCTCCTCATATTACCCTCATATTATTCTCATATTATTCTCATATTATTCTCATATTATTCTCATATTATTCTCATATTATTCTCATATTATTCTCATATTACCCTCATATTACCCTCATATTACCCTCATATTACCCTCATATTACCCTCATATTACCCTCAAATTATTCTNCCCTCGACATCCTAACACTTATTTTCATCCCCAGACTCCCCAACACTTACCCTCAACATCCTAACACTTATTTTCATCCCCAGACTCCCCAACACTTACCCTCGACATCCTAACACTTATTTTCATCCCAAGACTCCCCAACACTTACCCTCGACATCCTAACACTTATTTTCATCCCCAGACTCCCCAACACTTACCCTCAACATCCTAACACTTATTTTCATCCCCAGACTCCCCAACACTTACCCTCGACATCCTAACACTTATTTTCATCCCAAGACTCCCCAACACTTACCCTCGACATCCTAACACTTATTTTCATCCCCAGACTCCCCAACACTTACCCTCAACATCCTAACACTTATTTTCATCCCCAGACTCCCCAACACTTACCCTCGACATCCTAACACTTATTTTCATCCCAAGACTCCCCAACACTTACCCTCGACATCCTAACACTTATTTTCATCCCCAGACTCCCCAACACTTACCCTCAACATCCTAACACTTATTTTCATCCCCAGACTCCCCAACACTTACCCTCGACATCCTAACACTTATTTTCATCCCAAGACTCCCCAACACTTACCCTCGACATCCTAACACTTATTTTCATCCCCAGACTCCCCAACACTTACCCTCAACATCCTAACACTTATTTTCATCCCCAGACTCCCCAACACTTACCCTCGACATCCTAACACTTATTTTCATCCCAAGACTCCCCAACACTTACCCTCGACATCCTAACACTTATTTTCATCCCCAGACTCCCCAACACTTACCCTCAACATCCTAACACTTATTTTCATCCCCAGACTCCCCAACACTTACCCTCGACATCCTAACACTTATTTTCATCCCAAGACTCCCCAACACTTACCCTCGACATCCTAACACTTATTTTCATCCCCAGACTCCCCAACACTTACCCTCAACATCCTAACACTTATTTTCATCCCCAGACTCCCCAACACTTACCCTCAACATCCTAACACTTATTTTCATCCCCAGACTCCCCAACACTTTCCCTCAACATCCTAGCACTTATACTCGCAGAGAGTGAAGAGTTAAGGAAGGTTTAAGTTTCTTCGTTCTCACCTGGCTGCTGAATTTGCCGCTGAAATATTCGCCGAAGGCGGATTATATTGATCTTTGGTTTAAAATACCTGTCAAATCTCTTCAACACTATCTCAAAATTCTTGGCATAAGCAAATTTATGGCATTTAATTCAAAGCATAAGGCTTATTTATACTTTGGTACAGACCTCACCTTATCCTCGTCCATTTCCAAGGCCCTTTTACGCTCACTATTAAAAAAGGTTCAATGCAGGGACAGCGCAGGCACAGCGCAGGTACAGCGTAGGTACATCGCAGGTGCAGCGCAGGCACAGCGCAGGTACAGCGCAGGTGCAGCGCAGGTACAGCGCAGGTACAGCGCAGGTACAGCGCAAGTACAGCGCAGGTGCAGCGCAGGTACAACGCAGGTGCAGCGCAGGTGCAGCGCAGGTACATCGCAGGTGCAGCGCAGGCACAGCGCAGGTACAGCGCAGGTGCAGCGCAGGAACAGCGCAGGTACAGGGCAGGTACAGCGCAGGTACAGCGCAGGTACAGCGCAGGTACAGCGCAAGTACAGCGCAGGTGCAGCGCAGGTACAACGCAGGTGCAGCGCAGGTGCAGCGCAGGTACATCGCAGGTGCAGCGCAGGCACAGCGCAGGTACAGCGCAGGTGCAGCGCAGGAACAGCGCAGGTACAGGGCAGGTACAGCGCAGGTACAGCGCAGGTACAGCGCAGGTACAGCGCAAGTACAGCGCAGGTGCAGCGCAGGTACAACGCAGGTGCAGCGCAGGTGCAGCGCAGGTACATCGCAGGTGCAGCGCAGGCACAGCGCAGGTACAGCGCAGGTGCAGCGCAGGAACAGCGCAGGTACAGGGCAGGTACAGCGCAGGTACAGCGCAGGTACAGCGCAGGTACAGCGCAAGTACAGCGCAGGTGCAGCGCAGGTACAACGCAGGTGCAGCGCAGGTGCAGCGCAGGTACATCGCAGGTGCAGCGCAGGCACAGCGCAGGTACAGCGCAGGTGCAGCGCAGGAACAGCGCAGGTACAGGGCAGGTACAGCGCAGGTACAGCGCAGGTACAGCGCAGGTACAGCGCAAGTACAGCGCAGGTGCAGCGCAGGTACAACGCAGGTGCAGCGCAGGTGCAGCGCAGGTACATCGCAGGTGCAGCGCAGGCACAGCGCAGGTACAGCGCAGGTGCAGCGCANGACATCAGAAAAAGGGGCAAAGGTGGGGCCAAGTCCCCGCTGGGGAAATGGGGCTGCGGCCTCAAATGGGGTGGGGTTAAGCCCTAAATCAAGACGCGGTCTCAAGGGTCAGCTGAAGAGGGGGATGTGGGAAGGGTTGGGGGGAGGGTTTAGTGGTGATGGGTTGAGATAGACGCTTGCAGCATCCGCATCATCACCAGCACCACCACAATCACCAGCACCACCAGCACCATAATCACCACCACCACCACCACCACCATCCGTCGTCACGTCGCCTGATAACTTATCTGTCTTATCTGGCCGTCTGTCTGAGGGTCTCCTGTCTGTCAGTTCCTCCTGTCACCGCCCCCCATCTCCTGTCATTTCCCTCCTGTCCCTGCCACGGCGACAGGGTAGGAAAGAATAAGGGCAGTAGAGGTAAGAAAAATAATAAGTAAGGCGTCAAAGGAATGAAAGATAAAGATTAGGGAAATATAGGGCAGAAATTTATAGGAGATAAACTTATCGAAATTTTCACTTCTTTCGTTGTCACTTTTGAGGGTAAGTGGCTTCCCTCACTCACCGCGGCGCTCATGTCTTCCTCATGCAGTTCCCTCTTGTAGTTCCCTCTTGCAGTTCCCTCTTGCAGTTCCCTCTTGCAGTTCCCTCTTGTAGTTCCCTCTTGCAGTTCCCTCTTGCAGTTCCCTCTTGCAGTTCCCTCTTGCAGTTCC